GCTTGTATGTTCTCCCCGTGTTCGCGTGGGTTTCCTCTGGCAGTTTCCTCCCACAGCTCAAAGACATTCTGGTAGGTTGATTGGCTTCTGGGCAAATTGGCTCTGGCATGAGTGTGTGTTTGTGCCTCTGTGTTTGGCCTGCGATGGACTGGTGACCAGTGGCCAGTATGAACCCAATAAAATCAAATGGAAACCTTTTTTTTCTTTCATCGTCTTGGATATTTTTCTGTCTTTTAAGTAAATAAGCATTGTTCTTACTGTATGTACAGTGGCATGGCTGTGGATGAGATTATTGTATTACTGTTGTTGTTTCGTAATTGAGAACAGTAAAAAAAAAACAGTGCTTCGGTGACATTAACGATAAACAAAACAAATCTGCTAGGGCTATGAGTGTTTATAGAGCTGCTGAAGAAAACACCGGGAGTGATTGTTAGTGGATGCGTTCATTCTGGGGTCGGGTTTGGGTTCAACACTTCACCTAACAGCCCACACTAATGTCAGCAGATTCTCGATACAGTTTGTGGCTTCGTCTGTTTTCCTCTTGTCGTCTTTTTTTTTCCGACTCCAAGACGTTTCTTTCGTTTCACAATTTGTACAGCGCTGACGTGGCCAGTCACCTGTGCTCAGTGCGCTCAAATGTTTCCTTTGTTTTACAGTTGCAATTTGCATTTCTTAGAAAAAAATCCGGTTTTGCATTATATTTTTTTAAAAAACAGTATTTTTAATATTTTGCCACAGCAAAATATTCCCTTTAATTTGCCACAGCATATTCCCTTTAATCAGCACCATCACAACAACTGGACGGTTTAATTTGTACAATTTTAGTTTCACTAGCTGATAGAAACTTGGCCTTGATTCTCCGTTCCCCCGACCGCTTCTTATCCTCGATTTTATTATTGTATTTAGTGGTTTTATGAAAAAGGTCAGTAATGGCGAGTTAAAGGCGCTATCTGGGAATGCGATCTGCTGTAGTTACCCGATTTGGGTATTAACACGCGGGACACAAGCACAAGACGAGAAATTTGCATTCAGTTTGTATTTTAATCTAAAAAAATTTAATGTGAACCAATGCCGATACACAGATACTGGTCTGCTTTCCAAGTAGACATTTGTATTCAGCGCACTAGAGATGCATCCCCAGAAGGGTGGCAAAGCGTTTAAGCAGGGTTTTCAGGCTGGATTGGATTGGACTCGGAAATATGCCAGGCAACAGCTCCCTAGTCCGTGTTGCTGGGGGAAAGTTTCATCACATGACTTTGAATTTTACCTTTTGATTGGTTAGATAAAAAAAGATGCAAGTTTTCATTTTTTACATAACTAAAGAAAGTAGAGAAACGGCTGTGATCAGCTGATCGCTGCAGTATGTAGGTCGGGCTGAGACTGATTTCTGATACCGGGTTATTATATTTAGATACATACAGTAAATAAATGGAAACACCTTAATTTTGGAGGAATGCTTCTTCTTCTTCTTCTTCTTCTTCTTCTTGTTTTTAGATTTATATTTAAGAACCCATAGCACTGTTATAAATAATACATATAAGTTATCCTTATGCTGTACATATACAGCGTTTTTCTGGACACTTCACTAGTTCAAAGAGCTTTACAGGTAATGGGGACCCCTCTTCACTACCACCAACGCGCAGCCCCCAACTGATAGAATAATCATAACATTATTTCTTTAAATGTACTCAACACTTACAAAAGTTACAAGTTACAAAAGTAACATTATGATCATTCTTTTTGAATTCTTGTAAAGTCTCTTGTAAATTCTTGTAAAGTAATTACAACTCTGGGTAATTAGACTGGACAGAAGCTCACAATTTTGTGGAGCGAACCAAATGTTTTGACACCTTTTGAGGTGAGGGCTAGCACTTGTGCTCAACACTGTTTAAAGCAGAGATCAAAGCAAGGAAGATGAATGAGGAAAAGTCACAGAAAAAACAAGAGAAATTAAGAGTTTGTGTAATACAAACAGTACCGCAGTTTGGAGCTCCCATTAACAAACAGAAACCTGTCAAGTATCTGGTACTGGAAGGACCCAGATAAAATTTAGGAGAAGGGGCTGTATTTTTCAGATTTGTGGCAAACCATCAGTCTTGTAGACAGTTTCTTTCTTTAACATCAGTCTAGTGAGAGAGCTTTACTTTAGGGAATTGTTCATTTTATTAAAATGGTCTCGCTTTCCGGTTTACTAACACTTGGAATTTCCCCAAAATAAACATTTAAGATCACCCAGACTTGGGAGGAGTGGCTTGTCACTACAGAACTCCAACTGCATTCAGTGTTGGCACCCTGTCAACACAGTGTTTTACAGATCAAGTCCTGGGAGCCCACTGGCTTTTCCTCCTGTAAATAACAATAATTGCTTATACTTATATAGCACTTTTCTGGACACCCCACTAAAAACGCTTTACAGGTAATAGGGACTCTCCTCACCCACCTAGATGATGGCAGCCATAGTGCTCCAGAACACTCACCACACACCAGCTCTCAGTGGGGAGGAGAACAGAGTGATGAAGCCAGTTCAGAGATGGGGATTATTAGGAGGCCATGATTGGTAAAGGCCAGTGGATAATTTGTCCAGGACGCCAGGGTTACTCCCTACTCTTTTCAAGAGACACGCTGGGATGTTTAATGACCACAGAGAGTCAGGACCTCGGTTTTATGTCTCCTTCAAAGGACAGTGCCCCTGTCACTATACTGGGGCATTAGGACCCACACAGACTGCAGGGTGACCACCCTCTGCTGGCCCCACTAACACCTCTTCCAGCAGCAACGTTATTTTTCCCAGGTGTCTCCCATCCAGGTACTGAGCAGGCTCACACCTGCTGAGCTTCAGTGGGCTGCCAGTGGTGAGCTGCAGGGTTGTATGATCGCTGGCAAACTCATGCTGACCTGACAATATTCCAGCAGGAGAGTGAATGTCTTCATCTTGCTCATGTACCAATGGCTTTCTTGCGAGAGGAGTAGGTGTGTAGATGTGTAGATACCCTACTTGTGAGACCTGAGTCCCATTGAAAATCTGAGGGATGAACTGGGACAATGTGTGGGACTATGGGCTCAGAGGCCAATGAAAAGGCACAGATTTATCAAGGCACTACTACAAAAATGGCTACAATCCCACAAGACAGCATCTGTGAGCTCCTGCAGCTATAGCTACCCACAACTTCTATTGCTTCCAGACATGGTCACACATGCTACTAGCCTGTGGATTTCACTGTGTAATCCCTGTCAATCTGACCAGTTGATGGCCAATGTTAATGAGCATGATGAATCTTTCTTTGTCATGTCTGCTCAATAAAATGGCTGTACCTAATCTTTAGTAATGCCTTGCAGTTATCATGGAAACAGAGACATTTAAAAAAAATGTCATGTGTGCCTTTTCAAAGGGACAGACCGGGCACAAGGCATTCTAATTTCTTTTAAAACTCTTCACTACAAGTTTAAGTTTTATACTAATGGTCCTGTAAATCTGCTGTCCGTGATAATACACATGTGTCTAGTTTCCTCTTCTGTTCTGTATGTTGTACACTGCTGCCACTGTCTCAGGGTCAAACTATAGATAATAAATGGGTCTATCCTGCAGTCATAGACATGACAACTGCACACCATAAATCCATGATAAAAGATTCCCAATTCCCTGTTCAGTACCACTTGGCATACACAGCCCATAGCTACTGGCCATGCTAGATGCCTGTCAGATATTGGAACAAGCAACAGGTTTATTCCATGCTGAAAAGAGAAAGAAAACATTTTTTTTTCTCTCTCGTGTTCTCTCTCTTCTCGTTTCAGCTTGGAAAAAAACTATTACTTGTTCCTTTGCAGACTGCGCATGCTGACGCAGCTGCCCACCTGGACCACCTCAGCCTGTCAGATATGTATATATTTGCTCAATCAGGGCTAAGAGTGGGTTAATGTAATAACCCCAGCTTTTACTCTGTGCCAGGAATGCTCGAGTCCTGCTGTGTTGGCCCTGGCATTGGAATGCCTGAAGACACGATGACATTGACTGGCACCCCTTAGCACCTCAGGAGGTCATCAGTGTAGTAGCAGCCCTGCACTGTGATACACTTGACTTGGCTCAATAGTTCAAAACCTGATGATCTCCACTGTCATACAAGATAATCAATATCACTGTTTGTCCACCAGCAGATACACAGCAAGCCAACCGGGGACCAATTTCACATAAAAGAGGTTTGCTGCAGCTTTGAAAATGCAAGTTGTTTCCATAATTACAAAATACCCCTAAAGATGAACAAACTTAGTGTGAATCTAACTTTCAACTCTTAGTTTATATCATGGTATTTTAGTGTTGTTTGATTGCATTATTGTCATACTCTATACTCTGTATTTTTATGGGATCGTGATGTACAAGACAAATTCCCTTTAGGGGCAATAAAGGATAATTCAATGAATTCAATTCTACTGCAATTGAACAAATATCGGCTCGTTATTGTTCTGCAGTCTGGAAAAAATGTTGTAACAAGAATGGCACTGCAGAAGGAGTTGTAAACAGACAACACCGTCTGCAGTTCGGATCCATGCACGGTTAAAATAATTACGGTACCCTATCCAGCCGTCCTGAGTGCTGCTGCAGCGTTTTTTTTATCACAAACCCTTGCAAAAATGAAGCTGGTCAATTCAAGGTAAAGCATGTTTCGTTTTGCTTTACTTTATACGAGGACTTAACGATCCCACCTTAGAAAATGACTGACTAGTGTATAATATTTGGGTTGACCAGGGTAGTGGTTAAAGAAAATTAGATGTCTGCTTTAACTCTATACTTTTGAAGTCCAAGCTGTGTTTGTGAACTGTAGACTTTACAACCAGCAAGGAAACCAGGAAAACCGTTTGGCGACTCTGCTATCACACTCTATACCAAGCTACAAACTGGGCGCTCTTTGAGTTAAATTCAAAACAATACATTATTTCCCTTCTCCCAATGAAGATGGCTCGACTCTACAAAATGCGCAGCTAAAATGAAACTTGAATCGCTTAAAAAACGGCGTTAGAACACTTTAGAAACCTTAAATGTGCTGTACCGTGATAATAAGTGCAGACAAAAAATACAATTCAATTTCAAGAGTTGGCAAATATTTTATCAATATTAGACCAAGCTGTGTATCACAAGTCTACCACGACGTGTGGTAGTGAAGTGCCAAACAGCGACAGCTCTTTTTCGAGCCGAAGGTTCCATCTAGCGCTGCTTCTCGGCCACTGCAGGTATTTGTATAGGAAGTGCGGAGCACTCTGGGGGAAATGTGGAGGATTTGATTGTAGTTCATTCATGGACGCTGCGTTTGATTCTGGGGAAAACTAGAAGTTTTTTCCCGTTATTCGGGAGACTAAACTTCTCGGAGCTCAGATCCCGGGGAGGCAGGACCGTCCGAGCGAAGCGGGTCACCTCTGCACCCTGGACGCCTCCCGGACTTGCTGAAGTATTTTCAACATCAGCCTTTAGGCCCAAGAGCCGCGGAGCACGGGAGTGCAGCAGCCCGCCGCGGAGGGCTGATCTCCTGGGGACTCTCTCGTAGATGCGGGCCTGACCGACCTGTCCTTCCTGCGAGGTCCGTGGCGAGGTCCTGCCGGGGAGCCTTTCTCCCGGTCTTAGAGACACGATGTCGCACGGCGGGGTCCCGCCGAGATGGCGGAATTGCCCGAGAAGGGGGCAACCTGTGGCAGGTGAGTACCTGCGGCACCTTGTGACATTTTCGCTGCTCGGTTTGTCAGCGCATTGCATTAGGCGGCCCCTTTCATAAAGAAAGGGGACGGTGTAGTATTTTGCGTGTAACGTCCAGCTGTTTGTCTCCGGCTGTGCACCGGGAGCGGTTGAGGGTTTTCCGATGAAGTTCGCGTTTTGGAGGGATGGCGAGAAAACGGTGACATTTCGGCGATTTCATCGCGCATCCCAACAGCTGCAGGTCACCGGGTCGGCCAAGCCCCCGAGCAGCTCCCAGCCGGCTCTGTGGTGCCCCTTGTAACCTGTGCACGCTGTCAAGCTGTGTTTTATACACCGGGAGGCTGTGCACGTCAGTTGTATTTCCTTAGCTTGTGACGAGATCCCCACACAAAACAAACGTAGTCGCACGGTCCTAAAAAAAAACCTTTTACGTTTAAATTCTCCGAAAACATTTTTCTTTCGTGCGTTGAGACCCGTCTCTCAGAATGACCTACAGTTCATGTTATTCTTTGTTTTTTTTTTCCACCCCTCTATTTGTAGGGACTTGTTTGTAAAAAATAAAAGCTTCACCAATGTCTCACTCTTTTGGTTAAGAAGGTCATTCTGTCATGTGTCTAGGGGTTCCTTGGTTCCTATCTGAGTTTGGCGGTATTTATTTTTTTCAGACCTTAATAGACTCTTCTCTCTTCTGTGCTCAAGTGAGAGGTTTTAAGTTGACCAGGATGTCAGTTTTCAGTGTGGATATTCCTACGGCTGCTTCTATTTGATGGCTTTCCAAGACGGCGGTTTCTTTTTTGTACCTTTGTGATCGATCGCAGATTGAATTTTGGTCTTTCAGGTGCGTTACAGGTTTTTTTAACATTAACACCTTTAACTTGAAATCGGCGTGGTGATCGACTCCTGTAGAGACGTCCTGTGGGGAGATAGTGTGCGGGCTGGTGGCAGGATTGCAGGCTGATTCAGAGCAGTGGGAGAAAGGTAACTGGGTGACTACAGGCACACACGGGTCACCACCCCAGATCTTGCTGGGTCCCTCTCATGCCAGGCCGTGGGGGAGACAGAGCAGAGCCTGGAGGAAGCTGGCAGGAATGATGGGCCCCACTTTAAAACTCCGCTAAAATGCAAACAATATGTAAAAAAAGCACAAATAACACAAGGTAAGATATAAGAACTGCGTCGCTTTGACGTTCAGTAATATCAATGGTGCTCTATAGGGGTAGGTCGATTATGATGGGTGCTGTTTGCTTTTTTCGGCTTTAGTGAATTTTATACAGGGTATTTCCAATACATTAAATAAAGAGCTTGTATTTTATACAAAAAAGCATGTGAACAGATCCCATTGACACTCTTGAGCGCAATTGTTAAAATAAGTCGAAAGATCCAGAAAGCATATATGAAGTAGTTTATATTTTCCCATATAATGTGTGATTTTAGAGAGTGGTTCTCAAACTTTTTGGACCAAGTACCACCCCTGATCAATCCAAAGCATCCAAGTACCACCTACAAGTCATCATCTCATAGGAACCCCAGAAAATCTCAATGACCAACATGAGCGCGCGTGCACACACACTCACACATGCATACATATAATAAATAAACTTTATTTGATATAGCACCTTTAAAGGTGGCTTCTCAAAGCGCTTTACAGAATTACAACAGGAACCACAACAATTAAAAATAAACAATACAAATTTCAGTGAGAGGGTTGAGCCTGTTTAGTTGAGCAAAGCAGATGTGAATTCATTGGTCGAGCCTTGATACAATTCACAACAGATTTTAAGTGTATCCACTTCATATCTGGAGCAACCTCTCTAATTCGTGCAACTACACCACTGTGTCGGCTTGTCATTGCTCTAGCACCGTCTATAGAAACTCTGACGCATTTTATCCAGTCGATGCCATTCACTTCGATAAAATCATTCAGAAGCTGAAATATGTGCTCTCCTGTAGTTCCTGTTGGTAGCGGCTTACAGAACAGAAAGTCCTCATGGGACGTACCCTCAAACTCGTATCTAACCTAAAGGAGCAAATTGGCCGATTTTGACACTTTTGACATCATCCGCCATATCAATAATTCTGTGAATGACTGTGTCTTTCAGAGGGGGCAGCAGGACAAGCTGTTTAGCAGCTTTTTCTCGACACATAATACGTATCATCTCTTTTGCCAATGGTAAACAAAGTTCTTTAAAAATAGCCTGGGGCCTACCTGCTTTAGCAATCTGCAAGCTTGCATTTTTCCCCCGTTTCCATTTCAGGAGTCCATCTCAGAAGTTAAAAAGGTTTTATTTCATGTGCGTGGAAGCGAAACACAGAGACGCTTTGTGTATTTTTCTCAAATTAACCTAGAACAGTTCTTAAATATTTTTCTGTTATCTATCACGCTTTCCTGTGCTCACAAGAGTGCCGGCGTTCGTAGTACGCATTTCTATGCTTTCCTGTGCTTACAACATTGGCATTGTTCCAAAATCACGCACATCCTCCTCCCTCCCTATTTGCTGGAGATAACTTTTTTTAAATACAATTGGTCACTTACGTTCCTAGCACGCATTCCTATACAATGGTGTAGAATAACATAGTAGCTGTTGTGTCCACTCAAGTATTAGCGCGTGCTGTATTGTAGTACATAGGCTGCGTATTCGACACAGATTAATTTTATTAAAATAGAAAATATGAAAACCCGTCCCAATTTTTCAGTGCACACAACAAGGTTCCAGGGTCATATGGCGTACCACCTGGTGGCGCATCACAAGTGGTACGCGGACCATAGTTTAAGAACCACTGATTTAACAGACATTCGACCAGAATGGACACCCCTTGCTTACTTTCTTTATTTTTGATTGCCACACAACAGTAGCTGGTGGAATTTGCTTTTGGTACAAGAGAACGCTGATGGAGCAGATATCCAACACATGCAATACTGAAAAATAAATACAAATTGAAATGGAAAGACAGACAGAGCACAATCACACGTATACGTGCACATTAACCTTGCAGGTAGCACACAGAATTGTAGATGACCATGGGAGGCTAGATAGCTGAATTCCACCCCCCATGACTCTGTCAAACCAATGGTGTACTGTAATACTGTCCTTACATGAGGCCAAAAACAGTCACTACTCTTTCATAAATTCTACACAACATGTTATAACAACATACGTAATCCTTTACAACTGTTATTGCAGATGGCATGACAGGCCTGTAGTTAATTTGTAATGGTTCACATTGAGACAGAGCTTCAGCTGAAAGCTAAGAGCAGAATTCCAGGTCGAGAGACATCTCATGAAAATGCTGGAAGTCACAGTTAATAGACTTTCTGCTGATGCAGCACACCAACAGCAGTCCTGCTACATTTATGTGACATTTTGTTATGTGTTTTTTATCTTTTTTTATGACTGTGTTATTGTCTCATGAGGTGTTGTACCCTTGGGCCAGGTACTCCATGTGTAAAGCATCAGCTAAATAAATTCAAGTTAGGACAGACTCATTCAAACAAACATAACTCAATTCTATCCAGGTCAAGCAAAGGCACAAGAGTTGATTGATCATGAGATTAAGAACGTTATAGGCAGAAAATCCCCTTGTCCCCAAGAAATGCAGACAATGCACCAGTGACTATAAAATTCATTTCAGGGGCCTTCATAAATTTTAGCCAGCAAACAGCACAGCACTGTCCCAACAGGACAGACAAAGAAACTCCCATCTAAATTCTTTTGTAGCTCATCTAGTCCCTGGATTGGCTAGCCACTCCATACAGAGTTACACAAATGCATGCTTTCTGCATTCTAACGTATTAATTCCCAAGGGTGTTTGCTTGAAAACGGCACTATTACAGAGTAGTTTAAAAGTTCCGCTGCTGCAGAAAACATGTAATTTAGCAACCTTATCATAAGACACAACGAGATACATCTGTGCTTGCAAATGCAGTGCCTCAGAGAGAAAACTCACTGTTCAGCCAAGGACACAGCCTTCACAATTATTCATTTTAACTCTCTTGCATTCATTCCTGCATCAGCTTATATAAAGAAACTGCTTACTGAAAGGTGATGCTTACTGAAAGGTGATGCTACATTACTAGGACATTTCAATATTTCTTGCATATTATGAATATTATGAAGAGGAAGATGGATTTTGACACCGATACTCTTGCAATAGTTAACAATTGCTTGTTTGTGAAAGCACCAAATAGGACAGATACGTTTATTAACCTGTTTATTAAGTTTATTAACCAGACAAATAGAATACAGTTGAATGCACAGATGTGTTAGAGCCCCATGGTAATTGTGACCTAAATATAGCATTTTTGATGTATACATTTGAACACTACTGTAGCGTACTGTACTGTAACGTAGTTTTCTAATTTTAGAAAATCAGATTGCTTAGTAACGAGAGGTCACAGACAGTGAACTGGGTGCAAATTTATATGACAAAAGGGATGTTTGTGCTTCAGAAACACAATGTTAATGTCTCAAAAGGAATTCATCTCTAAAACAATGAGGTCCAAGGACATTATAGCCCAAATGAGTTAACAGGTGTATTAAAAAGTCAATCGCATAAAAGAGCCCAGCTTCAGATATAAAAAAAGAGTAAACCAAGGTTTGGGTGCACCTGAAAAAGATATTAAAATTGTGAAGAAGCAGGCAAAGAAGAATATTGCATTGTAGAAGCAAAGAAGACAACAAAGAAATAGTAAACATGCAAAATGAACACTTTACACAGAAGCCTTTTATTGTACAGTTGATGTCCCATGTTATGAAACAAGCTCTGTTTTGGGTAATTTTAAGAAAACTAAGACTGTGGTTCTGCAGCTGCCAGCGCAGGTAAAAACCAGTAAACCACCTGCACCTGCTGTTTTCCCAGTCATACCCCAGGAAATGCTACCTGTCTAGTCTGTCCCCCCATCCGTTCTTCAACCCCTTTATCCACTTCAGGGTCACAGGGGAGCCCAGCTTCGCAAGCCACAGGCGCAAGGCAGGACACACCCCGGACTCACACACCCACACCAGGGCCAATCTTCCCAGGAGCTAGGTAACCTACCAGTATGTTTTGGACTGTGGGAGGACACCCACGCAAACCTGGGTAGAACATCAGGTGCCGCCCAGGCGCAGAACCAGCACGGAGAGGCAACAGTGCTAACTGTGACGTGCCCCTGCCACCCCCACCTGTCCTCTAATTGTAAAGAAAGCATTTACTGCTTACGACGGTTTCAGTTTGCTTTCCTTTCAGTTTGAAAAGCCACGCCTTAGATTTGTCCTATTCCCTTATTGTTGGACAGAGCTACAATGTTCTTTTTGTCTCTAAGAATGGCCAAATCCGCTGGCAGGACAAGAGTTTTCCCGATTGTCTGAGCACTACCAGTCAGAGCCAACCTAGAGCTGGCATTGCAGGGCGCTCCTAAAACTCTTACTCCTAAAACCCTTCCAGAAACTGTACTAAGAGCTTCTAAGCTCTTAGAGCTTGTCATTGGTTTCCGGTAACTGGCTCAGCCGTCTTTGGGAGAAATCAACAGTGCTTTCTTGGTAGCACCGTGTCGCGTGTGAAGACGATTCCAAACGAGTGAAGGTTTCCTGCGGTGATTTGTTGGAAGCTCACAACAGCACGTTCACTTTCTATCCCACTCGCGGGAAATCTGAGGGCTGGATCGCCAGGATCCTTGCTCTTCTGGCCTGTTGCAGGAAGGTCGATATGGGACTGCGGGAGGTCTCCTCGGGCGTTTCGCCAGCCCTCGGCCTGCGCGTTGATGGCGTATGAATTTTCACCAGGTTCCCCGGGTGTCTGTTGTGTCATGGTTTTCTCCTGCTCTCCGTGATCTCGCCACTTTTTCCATTTGGGTTGGAATTTTTGCCCTTGACCGTTCAGTGTTTGTTTCGCTTTTGAAACCGCAGATCCCGCTATTTTAGGGTGAAAATGCGGACTTCAGAACGGCGAAGCTGCCTGGTCTTTTACGTTGGTGAGCAACCTCATCCGCGGTGACGTTTGTGTCAGTTGAAGTGACCCCATAATTAGACAGCTGCTAGATGGTGTCAGAAACACCTTGGGGAAGGTAAATGTAAAACAATAAAAAAAAAAAGACTTGAGAGGCATGTTCTAAACACACTCTGTGTTTAAAATGAATGAGTTAACTTGTACCACTCGCAGGATGTCTGTTACTTGCACAGTTGGAGAACCGTGGGTCTGGCACAAAGCCGTTGAGAGGAGTTTGATTCAAGCGTACAGGACCCTAAGGTGTATATGCAGAGGTACAACGAGGCCGCAGACTCACAGCTGGAAACGAAAAGTTTTTTTTTTTAAGACGAAGAGTAGGAAACATTTATTAAAGCAAAGAGTTGTGGGTATTTGGAGAAAGCTTCCCCGTCAGCTCTTAAGACTCGGGGCACTTTTAAGAATCTGATGGTTTAAATTTGGTGTAGTGTCATTTATTTTCTGAACTTCCAAATGAGCTAGTTGGGCCTTTCTCCTTGCTTGTATTCTTTCGTATGTCTTGAGGCAGATATTCTTGTTGTTCAGTGCTTTTATTTAGTTAACTTCTAAAGTTCCCATTCGATGTTACACATACCATACTAAGAATTGTCTGTATTCACACTGTGAACTGTAAAGCTTTTAAGGTATCTGAGATGTTAAATAATGTGACATACGTTCCTTTACTACTGCTTATGAAAAGTAATGTCTGGTTGTGGCACCCAGAAAAGATGCTGAAGATAAATTCTGTGATCCAGTCTATATTTTATGTTCTTTTTCTATACCCCCCCCGTAGGTAAATTCCTGCCCATGAAGACAATGTTAGGGCCAAAATACGATGACTTGGTCCAGGAAGAGAACAGGTTCCACCCCAGCATGCTGTCAAACTATTTAAAGAGTCTTAAGGTAAGCTGTAGCAGACCGAGTGCCGGTGTACTTGCTGTAGTTAGGTGCTGGGCTCACGTGCTCTGGCATGATGGGGGCAGAGTGGTGGCACTGTGGCTGAGGATCTGTGCCTGTGGCTGGAAGGTTGCCGGTTCGTATCTCGCGGCCGGCAGAGGAATCCTACTCAGTTGGCCCCCTGAGCAAGGCCCTTCGCTCTGAGCCCAAGCTTCTCTCCCTGTCTGTGTGTCTCATGGAGAGCAAGCTGGGGTATGCGAAAAAGACAAATTCCTAATGCAAGAAACTGTATATGGCCAATAAAGTGATCTGATCTTATGATTTTGGTTGCTCAGCCCAGAGCATGTGAATCACTGGTTCAGCTCTGTGGCAGCTCTAGAACACTTCTGAAACCTCCTGGCTCCTCCTTTATCATTACATTTCAACTTAGAGTAGTATCACGGTGATCCTCTGAGCTCTTAACTGCCCATATCACATGATTTGGGATTTGGCCCACATTGTCTGAAATCTGTTCTGCATTGAATTACCACCACTCTGTGGGTATCTTAAGCCTTTGTTTGCATTATGTTTGTTTGAATGTAAAGACAACAGGCATCTGAGGTTATTGTAAGCTCGCAAACCTAATATGTTCTGTTGACAGTTTTCTTCCACTCTGTGGGCTACATCTAATAACTGAAGTTCTTAACATCAACAAACAACGGCAAAATAAAGACATATATATATATAACAGCAGCAGCAAATAATGGACTAAGACCTTTTCCTTTTTTTTAGGTCAAAATGGGGTTGCTCATTGATTTAACAAATACATCCAGATTCTATGACCGGAATGAAATCGAGAAGGAAGGCATTAAGTATGTGAAGCTTGCTTGCAAAGGGTAAGTGTCTTGTGGCTCTGGAATTCTGCTCAGCGATGGGATTGAACAGCCCGGTGGAAGGCTGGATTGTGAACACATAATAATAATAATAATTGCTTACACTTATGTAGCACTTTTTCTGGACACTCCACTCAAAGCGCTTTACAGGTAATGGGAACTCCCCTCCACCACCACCAGTGTGCAGCTGGATGATGCGACGGCAGCCATAGTACACCAGTACACTTATCACACAACAGCTCTCAGTGGGGAGGAGAGCAGAGTAATGAAGCCAATTCATAGATGGGGATTATTAGGATGCCATGATTGGTAAGGGCCAATGGGAAATTTGGCCAGGAGAAACGCCCTGGGGTTTATAATGACCAAAGAGAGTCAGGACCTTGGTGTTACGTCTCATCCGAAGGACGGCGCCTGTTTACAGTATAGTGTCCCCGTCGCTATACTGGAGCATTAGGACCCACACAGACCGCAGGGTGAGCGCCCCCTGCTGGCCCCACTAACGCCTCTTCCAGCAGCAACCTTAGTTTTTCCCAGGAGGTCTCACATCCAGGTACTGACCAGGCTCACACCTGCTGAGCTTCAGTGGGCTGCCAGTTGTGAGTTGCAGAGTGAAATGGCTGCTGGCTGCTCTTATAATATAAGACAGGATCCAAACGAGAAGGATTTGGATCCTTCTCGTTTGAGAAGGACTTCCACATGGCTTCTCTGCCATTTGGTAGTAAGTATTGCATACATTAGTGTTACATTATACTAATGAGTATTGCATGTGGATGGCAAAACCATAAAGTACAGATATCTTCTAGACAATATGGAGAAGCAATAAAAATGTAAATAAAAGATTAGGATTTGTAGTTAAAAACACAGAATTTAGATGAATAGATTTATTCAAAAAATGAATGCTTTTTTAGAGCATCAGGAATAGATAACTATTGATGCAAACTAGAGCAAGGTAATTTTCTTTGGATCAATGAACTAATTTCAGTATTGAAGAACTCATCCAGCTGCCTCTTGGGGAAAGACAAGGTATTGACTTCAGCAGCATGACTGTGTGGCTTGTTCGATTCTTCCACAACTCGCTGAGTGAAGTGCCTGCTGTGCTCGATTTTAAGGCGCACTCTGGTTCATGTTTCGCTGTTCCTTGTGAAGACATCTGCTGGGTTGGCCTTGTCAGTTTTAGTACCCAAAATCTAAAATACATAGTCATTAATTGCATCATCATTTTTGCTGTAGGTTTTTATGTTGCTATTATACTTTTTTTTTCCAATGAAACTGGATTGAGTTCATCCCGGTTAAGGTGATGTAAGTTCAGGTATGCAAAATGGTGCTTTTTGTGGCATAACCAGAGCACAAAGGATTTTTGTCAAGTAAGATCATTTGACAGCTATGGGGATATGCGAGTTATTCTCGTGTTAGTCTACAAAACCTTGTCCGAACACATCTGTGACAATGTAAGACAGGTTTACCTGTTAGCCAAAGGTGTTAACTTGTGCATCTAGTGCTAAAACTGGTGGGGTTTCTGAATTATCCATTGAGTACATCATGACATTTTCTGTTTGTCAGAAAGCTTTGGAAAAGTTTAAATTAGTAAAATGCAAGCGGAGACAATTAATTGCTGTAAAAGCTTCTTAGTAGAGCATCAGGAAACAGTGTCATCAACTCCAAATGTATTGTGCAGGTGTTGAAAGAGCTGTGTAATATCTGGCTGTTTCAGGCTTTTGCAGTATGGTTAGAGTAGTTCCATTTGCCTCTTTAGTGAATTTAACAAACATTATGTAACATGGTGTGTTGGATACAACTGCAAAACTGTGCTTTGCTTATTTCCCGTCATTGATCTTATAATCTAAGACTTTTTTGTTTTTTTGAGAAATTGGGCTTATAAAGACATTTTATCAGCCTTCAAATTTGTATTTGTTTAGGAATAAAACCCAGCTCTGTTTGTATTTTGAATTATGATTGTGTTTTAGCACTGTTCTAAACTAGTGTTTTTCACAACACTTTGTCCCTGACACAGCTCAAACCTATAGGTTTCCTGCTTGAATCATGTCATTCAGCAGATTATCGTCTATATCTGGTATAGTGGTGCTAGAAAGTTTGTGAAAATTAAGAATGTTCTTAATTTCTGCATAAATGTGACCTTAAATGTGAAACACGGTGGTGGCAGTATCATGGTTTGGGGCTGTTATTCTGCCTCGGGACCAGGACAGCTTGCCATCATTGACAGAACTATGAATTCTGGAGTGTACCAGCAGATTCTACAGGAGAATGTCAGGGTATCCGTCTGTGAACTGAAGCTCAACAGAAGGTGGGTCCTGCAGCAAGACAATGATCCTAAACACACAAGTCAGTCTACCAAAGAATGGTTGAAGCAGAAGAAATTTTGCATTTTGGAATGGCCGCGTTGATGTCCAGACCTTAATCCAATGGAAATGTTGTGGCAGGACCTGAAGCAGGGAGTTTGTGCAAGAAAGCCCACCAACATCACTGAGTTGAAGCAGTTCTATAAGGAGGAATGGGCCAAAATTCCTCCAAGCTGGAATTGATCAACAGTTACCCTAAACATTTGGTTGAAGTCATTGCTGCTCAAGGGGGTCACAGCAGTCACTGAAAGCCTAGGTTCACATACTTTGTCTGACAAAGACATTTAATGTTGGGTCATTTTGATCAATAAATGAATGAAAAAGTATATACCTTTGTGTGTTTTGTTTTATTGGGTTCTCTATCTATTTTTATGGCTCAGATGAAGGTCTGATCACATTTTAAATTTTTGCAGAAATTCTGAAGGGTTCACAAACTTTCTAGGACCAATGTATAATGATTATAGAATTATTTTTCACAGCACTCAATTTAAACATCCTTGGCAATATAGATCGATATCTGATTTTGGCCCTTGCACTCTATAGTAATGGTATATCTTAAGTTTTAAAGAACTGTCCGTCTTGAAGGATTTTGATCAGGGCTGCGAGAACAGATTTTGAGACCCAAAGGAATGCAGCTGCTGTAAACGTTCAGACCAACTGGTTTAGGTGGCGGAGCGTAGGTTATGAATAGATTTCAGAAAGCTCTTCAGAGATGGTTCACACTGCATTGAAACCAGTGGAGTTTGTTCTCTTTTTCTCATTCCTTTTCTCCCCCTTTAGGCATGGAGAGTGTCCTACGGCAGAACACACAGAAATGTTCATCAGGCTGTGTGAGCACTTCATGGAAAAGAATCCTACTGAACTAATAGGTATGAAGGCATGTATTGTGTTGGAGGCCAGGAAGAAACTGTGTTTCACCATATACTGTTTACAGAGAGACCGAACATTTTTCACAGGCTTGAACTCTGACATTCATTGTGTAGTCATGTGTGATTTCTTTCCCAGGAGCCATAGCGTAACCCACATTTCAAAACTCGAAAATGGTTTCCTTGCCTGTACTGATGTAGTCATTGAAGCAGTGTAGCACATTCTGGTCATTTCCCTCACAACCAGTGACATTGTTGCATGTCTGTATTGGATAGCGTCTCATTTTCAAAGAACAGTTATCAATATGTAATGTGTATGTTGCATAATATACCCTTTTTTTTCCATCGATGTCATGATTGACTCTAATACTGGCGCCCAAATGTTTCCAGTTCACAACAGACAGCCATTACCCAATCTTAAACAAAGTGGAATATTCCTTTGTTTCCAGGGGCAGTCTTCAATGTCAGATGTAAATAGATATTCGTAATTAAGCAAAAAATGATGCATTGCCTCGATGTAGTTAAAACCACTTAATGTTATGGATGGCTAGTCTCTCTGCTGCTCTAACTTGCTCATAATCAGTGGTGATCTCTGCTGCACTGGTTGCAGACAGGCTGATTTGACACCGGACCTTCAGCTTCAGCCATGCATCTCCAGAACAATTGCACTAGCAATTAGGAGATGGAATGCATATGCCACAGACTGCCTAATCTCATTAAGGGTCATTACCTGTGGAAATTAAAACAGTTAAGGCAGAGGTTAATAGCCTCCAGCAAGTGCAATATGACAGGAGTCTGGGAGTGATGTACTTTTTCCTGAAGGCAAAACACCTCTTCTCATTTGTGTCTCTCCCTTTCAAATGTCAGAATCAGTACCAGGCAATTTCCAGTAAATTAATCTCCCCTAATAACTTTGAATATTAACACGGTAGGAATTCTAAGTGATCATAAAAAAATAATTTGCATGCTTTATTTTTTTGAATAGCATCGTTTTTGTGGCATTCTGCCAGGAAGAGGGGTCAGGTTTTGTAAAAGAACACGTCACCTAGTAAATGTTTCGTACACTTGGGGGAGCCAGTGTGTTGCAAACTGCTGTGTATTCTGCCGAGACACTACATACACTATTTCACTGATGTCTTTCGGTCTCCTTGTTCATGTGCTCTAGTGCACAGCTGAATTCCTTGACCAGAAACGTGCGTGGCTTCAATGTGATTTGTCTTTAGTTTTTCTAAGCGGTCTTCTAGCTCAGGTATAAAAGGAAATAATTTTGTTTACAGTCAGGATTAACTCGTCACCCGATGGGCAGAAGGGCCTCTTCTCGTTCTTGTTAGAGCTTACACATTTCTGGAGCAAATTTGGAAAGCGCACAAAAGAATTGCACTTCGCGCAGTGATGTCTGTGGGGAGTAGGCAGACACTAAGATGAGTGTAAAAATGACATGACAGCACATGCTTAATGGGCTCCTGAATGGATAATTCAGGAGTACTGTGCAGCTGTTACTATCTCATTATTGATGTGCTCGGGTTGAGGCAGCGTGACGCTGTGAGTGTGATCACTAGTTAATTGGTGTCTCTCCCTCCTCGAGAGAGAGAGCAGATGTTGACTTAATCAAGAGGCAACTCGAGAGGCGGGCCCGGAAGAGCCCAGGATCTTTCATTGGCTGTCTTGTTCCTGACACTTCTCTCCGGTGGGTTTGAGCAGCGAAGAGACAGCGTGGCGGGGGAACGTGTCATCCGTCAACAGCGCGAGGGCGAAAGTGGAGAAAACTGCCTGTCGTCTTTCCAGGCGGCTCCCTCCCAAATAGGCGGGGTCAAGATTTCTAGTGCGGTTATAATTTTTTGGGGGGAGCATCTTGAAGTGATTAATTGAGACAGAATTTATCTCGAGTACAAAGGACAACCAAAAAATATTCGGGGCTAAAAGCTGTAGTTCTTTCTCTTGTTGAACCTGCTGGGGAAAAGTGTGTGGTCGTACAAAGCCTCTGGTTTAGTAACTAAGACATGAGCCTAAATCGAGAGCAGTACAGTCTGTGGTGTATATGGTAATGTGTTGCTCATGTGATCCTCCATTTCAAATCTTGATTTCTGCAGAGGGTCTAAACCTTGAGCCTATTTGTGTTAGGTTCCAGAAATCAAGGAATGGATACCAACATTCAGATGTGTTTGAATAGGGACTTAATGAAACCACTGTAATGGTAGGCTGGCACTTTTTGCTTTGTCAAACCATACATTGTCTTTCCCATTTCAGCACTGGCTTTTTTAAATGGGAAGTCCTTCTTGTCACTAAAACAAGGAGCTGCAGTGATCACCCAAAGTATTGTCTGGATGGAGTTTGAGGACCCGCTGAGTAGATCGCCCTTCTTTTACATGGTGCCTAATCAAATTTGCTCGTTCAGCTTTGCTTCTGACTGCAATCCAATCACATTGTTCAAGAGAACCTTCGCATTCTCTTCACCATGTCCTTGCTATCATGGTGCCAGACCGTATACAGAGCTGGGGGTTGTTGCTTTGGCAGCGTCTTTGAGAAGCGCTTGCAGGAAATATCACTAGTGTGGTGCTGCTCCGTGATTTTCCATCACCTCCTGACAGACAGGCATCCCAGGAGAGACTCTCTTATCAGAAGGCCTTCCTCTCTGCGTTGCGAGTTGCAGGCCTGCTGTGCCTTGAGGAGAATACATGAATATATGCGTTTTTTGAACAGGGCAGACTGATTCTCTCAAGGTAGTCTCTTGGGTGTTTTTTTTTCCGGGGAAGTAAAAAATGCAGTTCCCCCTTTTGTTGGAATGAACGTCAAATTAAGGTTCTCAGATTTTGCATTGCTTTAGGGTTAATGAGATAGAAGGCTAATGGTGTCATTTTTTTTTTTACAGTTCTTGATTCTGGGGTCTGAGACTGAAACCCAATCAGAAGGAAACTGCAGTTGTAATTCTTAACCAAAAGCATACAGTCTGTCCTGTTTAAGTCTGCATCGTTTAATTTTATGTCCTCCAGAAGGAACAAAGGCGTTTCCAGGATGGTGTATGTGTCTTCACTTTATTGCACAGCCAAGATATTTCGGCTGCAAACGCTGGGTTATGATGTGCAGCTCAGCGTGCATGTCTGCTGTTAAGTTTGATGCGGTGACTGCAGCCAGTTTAGGGAATCTGAAAGTGTCTTGGTGAGACAGAGGTTGTGGGGAAAAAAAGCCAATTAATTATATGAGCAGGGAAAATGAAATGGCCATAATTAAGGTTCTGTTCTAAAGAACTGTGATGTGTTTGAATGATTGTGCTCCTAAAGGTACAATGATGATATTTTTCTTCAGTTTTTCAGTAGACATGAAGTAAAACTAATAAGAATTACTTGCATAAGAACCTATGATTTTGGGTAATAGAAATTTCTAATTTTTTGGATGAACACCTGGAAAAGGCTTCCAGTTTTCAATTTACTCTTCATGAAACCAACATTTTATCACGTATATACTCTCATCTCAAACTCCATGTTGTTTGCCAGTCTCTGATACGTATGCAGTGACTTCGGCACACTCATACCTCGGTTTTATTTCTTAATTCGCTCTGTGGGGCTCAGTCTCTACCTAGACTCATTTGGATACCTGTTCAGTTGTTTATATCTTCATGTTTCTTTACAAAACTGTCAAAAGGTAGTGGAAAAACTTAAATTTGTTGCTAGAAATTTTGAATGGAATAGTCTGATCCCTTTAAAAAGATGATGTACCATCGGAAGGGACTTGATTAAGATGAAGCTCTCAAACACGTCTCTAGCTTATGTGTTGAAAGGATGGAGAATCGTTATCCGTCTGTGTGCGTGAAGCCCTGTGTCCCGGTGAAGGATGTGGCTACAGGGAGCCTGTTCCAAAAAGACAGACAAGGCGGACTGGGAGTGCATGACTGCTCTTGGCAGAGACAGGCTCCCAGACTGTTGCTGTTCCGTGGATGAAGGGATAAACGTGGAATCGCCAATCAAGCCTAGCCTGCCTGCCTTTGGAGGTGGGAGGAATCAAGGGGGAACGTGGCAACTCCACACTGAAAGAAGAAAAACACAATAAAGGAATGAGTACTAGTGTGAGCAGTTCAGGTCCTTAAGAAGGGCTGTTTTAAGTTAGTGATTTGTGAATGGCTTGTAACTGTCTCCTGTTTCTGGATTGCATGGGATATTACCTAGGGACCATTGATTTGAGCCTATTTTCCCTAGTTGGTTCACGGTCAGATTATTTGTCATTGTGGATTTGGGGTTCACTGCTTTTTGGGTGATAACTAACTGATACTTGGGTGAGACTTGCAGTCTGGCTTACAGACCAACTCAAATGTTGTACTGATGTCTGAGCTTCATGCGTATCTGTCCGGCGCAAAGAAATGGATGCAGAAGGACTTCTTCCGTAAAAGGTCTCATTTTATTTGTGACATAACAGAGTTTTGTGTTCTTGGTCTCCCAATATCGGCAGTGCTGAACTCGTTCTCTTGATGGCAGTTAGACATTTTCATATTAATTTTGATCCCGAGTTGCCATTTGAAGCGCGTGGGACAAGACGCATGGGTATCTTTTAATGCTTAACACGAAATTAATATGCTTTCAAACGTAAATGCTGAAGCTTTAATCTATTCCTAGATTTCATTTAGATTAGACGCATGTATTTCCTGACAGAAGTATCTTCTAAAGTTCTTCTAGGCTTCATCATGTTCCTACAGTTTGTGTACCTGCCCTGTGCAGATTACCTGTCCTCTAAAATTTATAATGGACTTCAAGGCTCTCCTGCCTTTTAAGGTGCTAAATGGCATAGCTCCAGATTTTTCAAGATTTATTGCATCAGTATAGTCATAATCGGAGATAACTGATTCAAGGTTTCTTACTCTGCTGAAAGCCAGTCTCCACAGAATGGGTGATTTATGCTTCTTGGGAGCAGAGGCACAACTGTGGAACATACTGCTCAAGTCCGTTAGAGACACTGCGAATATCAACGTATACAAATCTCATTTAAAGATGTACCCTTTCACTAAAATTTAAAATGTATTATTTACTTTTACTTTTACCGTTGGCTTTGCAGAGTCAATTTGATGTCAGTTTTTTGTCTCTTACTTCTATCTGTGGTCATTGACCTGTGCTGTATACCTGTGCTATGAGTGTCTTGGTAGCACCAAGAGCAGTAAAATGAAATTATGCAGTGGGGTAACACATTTTGTGGCCTAAGAGCCTGAAATCAAGACACATCAAATCAGAATTAGTTTTAATTTGAAATATTTTTACAATTTTTATTTAGAGGTTAAAATAATTCTAATTGAATGTGTTTGTTTTTTAGTTGTTAGGCCACAAAACGTGTTAATTTATAAGGGGTGTGTAGATTTTCTCTAGGCACTGTATGCAGCAAGATACAGGAATTAAAGAAGGCTGGGCCACTTCTTTGTACATCCCTGAATAGTACCGTGCTCTTTGAATTACATTTTTGGGAACTTTTTGATGTTGTGCTCAGCAGTTCATGGTTTGTGTTGAATATTGCAGCACATTTATCCTCTTTTATTTCTTCCCCAGGTGTCCACTGCACACACGGCTTCAATCGAACAGGCTTTCTCATCTGTGCCTATCTGATAGAAAAGATGGACTGGAGGTACGGTCAAGTGAATTCAGTCTCCCGTCCTCTTAATGGCTCCTTCATCTCCTGGCTCATTTCAGAGCGTCTTTCACAAACTGGTCCTGGCGATCACGCAGAGGCGAGACGATGAGCCAGATCTGAGGATGGCCCTCGATCAGCCACAGAGCCCCGTTAGTGTCCTCCTTGCTGTGGAAGCAGAGAGGCAGTGTCGAGTCTGTGCTGCTGTAGTGTGGTATCTTGGACACGGGGCAATGTCAGTGTTCATGCTTTTGGTAATTCCTTGCAGAACAGGGGCCTGCAAACTCTTCCCAGCTGAGCCACTTATAAATATTTTAGCGTTGATGGGGAGCAAAGTGATGATGGCTAATGCATTTTAAGTAGTGAAAAATCAGTTTGGAAAGGTCATTGGAATCGTTGTGTGTTCTGCTTGGTGAGAGAAGAGTTTGCTGGAGGCCGTGCTGCATGTCAGGGGCTTAGGGACACGTCTTTTCTTCTGAGCACGCTGTTCTGCAAGGAAGGCTGCATTATAAGCCTTGGACGAAATGGTCTCTAGGAATATTTCAGCTCCTGATTTTGGAGAAGTATCTCATCCTTTTCCACCTAAAATCTGTGAACCTCTGGGCCTCCCTAGTGGGTTCAAATGCGAAACGGGTTGAGGTGGTTGTTGAGGTTAATAAATGAATGGCACTGCAAGCAATTTATGCCGCATTGGTAGCTTAGCAGTTTTTTATTTTTGTTTATCCGTCTGCCGATCTTGAAACGGTTTACAGAAAAAAAATGCAATTTTATATCTTGACTCTTCAGAAAGAGACTGCTTTTTGGTAGAGAGCAGAGAAATGTGATTGGAGGGAGAGGCCGGCGAGCTGTGGGAAGCTGCAGCAGGGCTGGTCTTTTCCCCGCTGAGTGTCCCTTTCCTGCCTCTGGTCCTCAGTATCGAAGCGGCTGTGGCTGTCTTCGCTCAAGCCAGGCCTCCGGGCATTTATAAGGCGGACTACCTGAAGGAGCTGTTTCATCGCTATGGCGACGTCGAAGACGCGCCTCCCGCTCCCTCCCTCCCTGACTGGTGCTTCGAGGAAGAGGAGGAGGACGTGGACGACGACGACGACGGCGGCGGCAACCTCATCGGCCCGGACTCTGGCCCCAGCTCCTCGGGGTCCTTACCAGGCAAGAAGAAGAAGGAGCGGCTAAAATTGGTGAGGTTCTGAGTGGGGGTGTGGACAGTGACTCCATGATGTGGCAGCTGGGAGCTGTTAAATTACCTCTTACTGTAACATTGTCTTTTTTTTTTACGTTGTCTTGTGGTTAAGTGTCGGCTGGTGGGTCCGATAATTATCATCAGGATGATCGTTTTTCGCACGTATGGCGATGAACTATTTACCCACTGGAGAAAAAGATACATTTACACACTATATTTAGTTTATGTATTTCTTTTGAAGGTACAGTTGCACGTATTCAGGGAAAGGGCTCTTTTAGGAATAAAACCTGTTTTATGGTAGTCAGACCCTGGTCTTCTCCATTTTAGTGAGTGGCCAAAAGAGGGCAGTGTTGGGCCTAGTTGTGCCTTGATTACCAGTATCTTGGCTGCTTTACCTGGAACAAAATGAACACAAATCCTTTTCTTCTGCCATTTTAATGACTAGATTTTCTGACTTGCTTTTGATTATAGCTGCCTCACCCTGCACCAAGTCTTTCTTTTTGTCCTTTACTATAGAAATAGTGTTCATATGGCACGATCTTTTACTCCGTGCCTTGAAGAATTTATGTTTCCAGATTACTGTTTGCAGAGTTTGTTATCCAAGGGGAAAACTCAGAAATTCCTAATCTCACTTGGTGAAATCTGTGTCAAATCTTTGTACTTAACATGAAGTACCTCAGATATCCCTACAGAGTCTTTAAGATCAAGCTCTCCATAATAACCCCTTATTCAAATAGTCATTTCCACCATGTTTAATTTAACCTTTTTACACTGTCTCTTATCACATTTCATAAAAGTAATTCTCAAAAATTCCTTTCTTTGGATTTGCCCTGATGATCATTTTACCAATTCAAAAGCTTAAGAAGTGACTGTTAAAATGAAGCTGGGTAGAAGATCATTGTATAAGATGTCTTGCTGTTTATCCAGTGGGCTTCAGAGCCTTGTGTTGCAGTGATTATCTTCCCTGATATATGTCCACACTGTCTCCTGTTTTTTGTTTGGGTTGGTTTAATATTACGTTATAATATTGTTTGTTCTTAATGTCCATACCTGTTGCTTATCTTTTTTTTTTTATTTTTTTATTGCTTTTTTGTTCCCCAATTCATTCTTTTTTTTTTTAATATTCATGATGGATCTTTTCATATGATACTTCTGCTTTTCATACAAGCTCCCTGAAGTACAGCACAAATGAGTGTTTGCCTGCATCACACAACATGTACAAGTGTTTGTTTTTCAGGGCGCCGTGTTCTTAGAAGGCGTTCAAGTTAAAGGCGTCACACAAGTTACAACTCAGCCAAAACTTGGGCAAATACAGAGGAAATGTCAGAATTTCTGCGAATGGGAGAAGTAAGTTTAGATTTTTAGTTTAGAAGTTCTTCTGTTTTTGTTGAATGTTTTATGTCTGTTGTTGAATGTTTTCATTTTCTTATTAAATTGCTTGGGTGCATATCTGGGTGAGCTAAGAAAAACAATGTTGTTTCCCTGTGTTAAACACCAGTTACGGTGGGTGCTGCTGGAATGATTTGAGCTGATTGCCAGCAGTGCTCGCTCAATTAAGAGAAGACACTTTTGAATTGATTAAGATTGACAGTTTGTCAACAATCAGTTGTTTTAATGCAATAGATTTGCTTTAGCTGTTGTTATTCTTTATATCTACCTATCTAGATATTTCTCAGTGCAACCTAATAATGTGGAACTGTGTTGAAATTAAAAAACACAGTCATAGAAATAAGGAGTCATGGTTATCCACAGGATCTAAAGTGCAGCTTCCCACTTATTAACAAAAGTCTGTCTGCCTTTGGACATTATGCTGGCTTTGCAGTTTCTCTCCAGATTAGTACAGGTTTGTTATTTTGCCTCGTCCATTCTAGGCTTTTGAACTACAGTAATTGTTTTGGAACTGGCTTGAAACTATCCAAACATAATTGTCAGTGCTAGTGGTGAAAATGCTGTTGACAAGTTTGGATAAGGATGCTTCTGTATGTGCTTGACCCTGAAACATGTGAAAATCCGAACACAAGGTATTGATAGCCTAGCTCCTGTGAAAAATCTTCATTTCCTTCGTTCATTTTCCCCTGGTTCGCGAATGAAGTATACTCTGTGAAGCACGCATCATATTGAGTGACTGTGGAGGCAGTCGGGGCTGGATGTTCATCTGTCTTATGAACAACATCTGCAGGCCTATGTAGATGCCCTTGAGACAGCCAGGTCCTCCTCCTCGTCTTACTGAGAAGGGCCGCAGCAATCCCACACAGTCCTCTCTTCAGATATCCATAAAACACCTGATCCACCTGATAAGTCTGCTTTTCCTCCATGTTCTGAGCAGTGCAACACCTTCATGCAATTCTTCAACAAAGAGATTCAGAACACAAACATGATGACCACGCCCTTGCCGGCTTTCATGGGTTCACAATGTCATTTTGCTGCTGGTGATGCTGCCTCTGTGACTAAACCGTGCAGGCTGGTCACTGCAATGAGACCTGCTGCTCCTTCCTGAATACATTTCCTGCACTCCAGCTCAAAGCCAGCTTCTCATCTCTTTGGCCTTCTGTTAATAACCCCACGAAAAAGTCACTGAACTCTGGTTCCTTTAGGTTTAAATTCTTTTGCTATCACACCTATATTAAAAAACGGAATGGGGCCAGGACCCCCAAGTACTTAACAAGCATCTGATCTGCTTCCAGTTTCTCTGAGAAAATGAAAATACTGGAGCAGGCAGTGCAAGCTCAATTAAAACCCCATCTTGCATCTAATGAGGTCTTGGAACCTTTTTAGCAGCAGTTTAGACAAGAATATCGCAATAGTCCTTGTTAAGGTTGTTAATGATTTGCTGATGGCTTCTGGTTTGGAATCACTTAATATTCTTACCATTCTGGACTTAGGTGCAGCTACTGATACTGTCAATCGCAGTGCTCTGCACACATGCTGGGAAATTTTATAGTAACTGTAATAATAATATCGATGAGAATTCCTGGTTTAACACCTCGACTCTTTTGGAGAAACACCCTGGGGTTTTTAATGACCTCAGTTTTATGTCTTACCCAAAGGACGGCGCCTTTTTACAGTATAGTATCCACACCCCTATTTTGTGGGGTGGTACTGCTCCTTCCTTTTAATTAGTTTATCTCTGATTTGGCTACTGCGAACCAGATTGATTGTATTATCGACAAGGCTCATACAAAATGGGCTTTTTTTAAAGTTTAATCTTGTCCCACTTTCTTGGGGGTCTAAGACATTCAGATTTTAGCATTTCCATGTTGCTCCTTGGTTCCGCTGCTGTAATCATGGCACTCTGTTTTATTTGCATACAGCTGTAGTCTCTCTCAGGATGATAAGCGCAGGACTTTAATGCAGCACTACTTTAGGCTAAGCTGTCACCAGTCTGAGGTTGTGTTTTTTCAGGCTCATAGACTCCTATCATTTGCTTCATAAAGTTCTGGATGACGGTGCTAAAATCAACCTTGATAGAAATTAGAAACCTTGGCGTTACTTCTAATCCAGTGTTGTCATTTGGTGACCGTGTTAGGAAAGTCACATAAGTATCTTTCTCCTACCTGCTTAACATTTCTCAGTTGCTCTGCCTATGTCATGTTGAACTACAGAAACAAGCCTTTATTTCATTACAATTCAACTGTTGTAATGCCTTACTTACTGGGATGTACTCTGAGATATTAAATTGCCTCTGGTAGGTTTGGACTTCTGTAGCTTACAGTAGGTTCTCACTAAAAGTACTCTGCATCAGAACATAACTCCCATCCTCCGTAAATTGTACTGGCTTCCAGTAAGGTTCAAACAGCCCAAGGGTCTCCTGATGCTGATATAATGAGCTGAGTGGTCTAGCTGCAGATTATTTTGGGGATGTATTGCATGAATATGGCCCAGCTCTTAATGTGAGTATCTGCTGGTCCTGACCTCCTTGCAGTGCTGGCGAAGAGGTTGATTGGAGTAGGCAATGGGGCGGTCCTGATTGCAGCACTGTGCAAAACCCTTTTCAAAACCCTTGTCACTAAAGCTTTTGATTTGTATTTTTCTTTCTGTCTTGGTTCCGCACAGAGAATATGCTGTGCTCCCCCACCCCTCCAATATTTTCCTGTTGCTTTTGTTGTGTATTATATGCAAGCTATTGTACCGCTCTTTGATGTTCTTCAAATCACTCTTAAATAGAATTATTTTTACAATCCTTTGTGCTTTAAAAGTGTCTGCAGTAGCTACAAGGGATAGGAAAAGAAATGCAGCTCTCTGTCTGTATATGTATGCGGGTCACAATATTTCATCCCGAGGAGAAAAATAAGGCCTTCAAAGGGTCAGTGGGTTCTAGTGTATGAAATTAAGTTTCAGTCCAAGACTCTGAGTAGTATTGCTGATATTTGGTTAAAAAATCGCACCGCTCATGTTCTGTCTTATATTGGCCAAAAATGTAAGGTTAGCCTGCTGAAGGTTATTCTTCAGCGACGCTGTGCTGACCAGATCCCGATTTGTGTCGTCTAGGTCAGGTTTCCCAGGGGCCCAGCCCGTGTCCATGGACAGGAAGAACTTGTGCCTGCTGGAGCAGAATGCTTACAAAGTCAGCTGGAAAGCAGATGGCACGCGGTGAGTGTATTGGATTCGAAAAATCATCTCTTCTGTTCATGGCTTGAGTCATCGCAGCAGCGCAGAGATCTGGATGTGGGGGATCTCGAAGGCAGGGAGACTTCTGGTGCGCACACGTGCATGAGAGATGACTTGGGAGGATCGGGCTGAGTTTGAACTCGAGTCGTCTTTTCGTTTCCTGCGTCACTTAGTGGTACCCAGATTGTGACTGGATTTTGGTATTGAACCTTCCGGCTGATATTCTTTTGCAGGAAAATAACAACAGAAATATTTAGTCAAAATGCAGGCAAAGGAAGCCCAGATAAACCTGCAGTGCTTAATGTTTCCAGGAAGGTGGCTGTTATTACGAGCGTATTGGTTCACATGTTAATTTATCCTGTGTGCCTTTCGCATCCATTCGTGCTCTGGTGGAGGACGTTAAAGACGTGCAGGTGAGCGCTCCTGGTTGGAACAGTTGACAGGCTCGCGGCTCAGACCTCAGCTGACAGCCCGTCACAACCTCTGTCCTGACTGCTCAGGGAGGGGGTGCCTGTAGAGGTGTCAGCCAGGGGACTCTTTTACTTGGTACCTTTCTGCTCACATTGCTGTTTACATTAGTTATGGATACGGCTGCAACAGTTACATGTGTTTCGATGAAGACTGCTGACAAGGAGACAAGGAGGCTTACAAACGCGAGGAGGCCATTTGGCCCATTTCGCTCACTTGGTAGTTCATTAACCTGAGGTTCCCATCCAGCCATTTTATGAAGTCTCTTGGCTTCAAACACATGGCTGGATAGCTTGTCTAGTTTTCCCCAAAGTCCCTACGGTATGCATATAAGTCTTCTTCTCGAGCTTCTGTCAGGCCCTGCGTGGCACATGGCCCTGCTTCCAGATATTGCTGTGTTGGGGTATGCTCGACTTTGTGCTCTGTGTTTTGGGGTGCAGCTAAGAAGATGAGAAAGCTTCCGAAGAAGGGGCACTTTTAGTAGCTGGTAGTTAATTGATCCAAGGATCTCTTCCAACCATTTCTGGAAAGAAGCCAGGATATTGGCTTCAACAACATGGCTGGGTAGCTTGATCTATACTCAGACAATCCTTTGGGTAATGAATGGCTCCTGTTATCGGTTTTAAATGTACTCCCAGACAATTTCCCTCTTGTGCCCTCTGGGTCATGTTTCACTGTTTGTTCTGAAGACATCTCCTGGGCTGACTTTGTCAGTACCTTTTAAGGATTTTGAATGCTTTTATTATACTTTATTGGATCTTAAATACCTGTTTTGGGTCCCTTCATACTATAGGCTCCTCTGTTCAGGGTTATTTTTTTTTTCTTTTAGCCTGTGAGTGTAGGACATTTCCTACAGTTAGTTGAGGGGGGTGCACACTTATGCAACCAGGGTGTTTTAGGTTTTTTTATTTCAATTATATTTGTTTTTCTCTTGAATTTTGTTGGTTGCAAGGTCACATCAAAGATGGAAAAATGTCTGACATTATTTATCTTGATTTCTGGTTTTAGTTTCAATATGGGTGTGTAGACTTTTCCACTGTTAGTATTCTGTGAACTCAACATTTGGTGGAACCACATTTGGCAGCAAATACACTCTCAAGTGTTTCTAGGTATGTCTCTTCCAATGTCGTGGACACTGCTATACATTTCTTTGACTGATTTTCTCAAATTCTCTTGGGTTGCTTGGGGTTCACTTACAGATAATAATTAATAATAATTGTTTACACTTTTATATAGCGCTTTTCTGGACACTCCACTTAAAGTGCTTTACAGGTAATGGGGTCTCCCCTCCACCACCAGTGTGCAGCCCCACCTGGATGATGTGACGGCAGCCATAGTGCTCAAATACACTCACCACACACCAGCTATTAGTGGGGAGGAGAGCAGAGTAATGTAGCCAATTCACAGATGGGGATTATTAGGAGGCCATGATTGGTAAGTGCCAATGGGAAATTTGGCCAGGACGCCGGGGTTACACCCCTACTCTTTTCGAGAAACGCCCTGGGATTTTTAATGACCACAGAGAGTCAGGACCTTGGTTTTACGTCTCATCCGAAGGACGGCACCTGTTTACAGTATAGTGTCCCCGTCACTACACTGGGGCATTAGGACCCACATGGACCGCAGGGTGAGCGCCCCCTGCTGGCCCCACTAACACCTCTTCCAGCAGCAACTTTAGTTTTTCCCAGGAGGTCTCCCATCCAGGTACTGACCAGGCTCACACCTGCTGAGCTTCAGTGGGTTGAATTAGAGGAATCCCTGAAGCATGATGCTGTCACCCCCATGCTTGACTGTAGCGGTGATGTTGACAGGGAAATGTGCTGTACAGGGTCTGTGCCACAGGTAATGTTTGTCATTTAAACCAGAAACAATCAGTTCTGGTCCCATCTGACAACACCATTTGCAGCACCACTCGGGTGTTTTGTTGCAAGCCTCATGCAGGATATGTGCGGTGAACAGGATATTCTTGACTCAAGCACATCATCTCTCTTCTCAGCCGTTACGCTCTATAGCTCTTTCGAAATTGCTGTTGTCCTCACAGAGGCCCCCCTCACCAGTTTTCTCCTTGCCCAGCTGCTGTTAGGAAGGACAGCCTAATTTAGGTAGTGACTGCTTTTGGAGATACAGCTTTTGTCCAAGTTTGCTAAGTTCAAAGGGATATTCAGCATCATTGAAATGTTTTTATAGTCTTTTCCCCATCTGTGCCTTTCTACAACTTTACCCCTCAGTTGTTTTGAAAGCTTCTTGCTCTTCATGGTTGAATCTTTGCTTGAAATTCACTACCTGACTGAGAAGCCTTGCTGAGAGGTGTATTTATTCTGAAATCATGTGGCTATTGTAGCACACAGATAGATGCCACTCAACTTATTGTATAGCTTATTAGGGTAATTTTGCACAGGGCACAAGGTTTTGATTACTAAAGAAATCATGGCATTTTTATTTTTTCTTATTACCTCTTCATTCGTTTTGTTTTGTCTCCTGCCGTGAATGTGTGTGGTAGGTTGTGTATAAATCCTGACTTCAGTGTGTGGTGAGCGGAGGATTTGTCGCTTCTTGCCTTCAAGGCCGTGGCAGAGCTGCAGGGGTTGACGTCTCACTAGAGGCCGAGAGAGCCCAGGTCGACTGGTCCCACTCTTTGCTTGGTGCCGCCAACTGTGTGCCATCACTTGGGCAATGCCATAGTCAGCAAGCGACATGACCCGGGTTTGAGCATGTGGTGTTGGGATCATCAGAAGCCAGGAATGTCCGGAAATCTTTGAGCTAGGACTTTGTTTCTGGCATTGTTTTGTTTTAGAAAGTGCTCAGGACTTACATTGGAAAATAATAATAATAATAATTGCTTACACTTATATAGCGCCTTTTCTGGACACTCAACTCAAAGCGCTTTACAGGTAATTGGGACTCCCCTCCACCACCACCAAAATACTTTTGGATCTTTCATGGGTCTCTGACCAGGGAACTCCAAAGATCCCCTTCCTTTCAGAACCGTGGATAAAAAAAATCTGTCACATTTGTATTATTTGTGCTCCGTTTGCCTGATTACTTTTAGATGGAGTAAATCCCCACTCGAACACCCTTTAACTACATAAGGTTCATTGAGGCTTGTGTTTGGTGTGTCCTGAAGTGTTCCAGATAGGCCGTGTTGCTGTTGCTGTTTGAGCTTGGGCTGTGCTGAAGGCTGCAGACCAGACGTGGGATGGCCATGTGACTGGCTGGCGCTGTGCCACAGCCCGTTGCTCTGATGGAGGAGAGCGCTTTCATTTCAGCTGTTCTGTAGGTCTCAACAGGGTTTGAAAACTCACCTCCAGCAGGGCCTAGTTCTTTATCTTCCACCTGTTCCATCATTGGTCAAATTATTTACTTTGCTGCAAAATGGCGGTATTTCTAACCGGACTCTGATGTGTTTTAACATCAATGAAGTGAGCGTTTTGGCTATTCAGCTGTATGCTACACTGTCTGAACCAGAGTGTCCCGTGTCGTGGATTAGTTGCCTTACAATGTCAGCGATTGGCACAGCTAGTGTAGTGTGTGGCGAAACTTGTCTGCATGGGTTTTCTTTGTTAATTACAAATCCTTGTCCCCTGTGGCGCTCGTTAGTGTGTTTTTCCAAATGTGTTGAAGGGACAGGATTTCCTACAGTCCGTACCCTGGTTCTGACAAAGGTGTAGCATGCATTGCTCTGCTAATAAGCCAGACTGGAACTGGGACGCTGAATTACGCAGTGCTTGCTGGCGGAAAGAGTTCACTTTAGCTAAAAGACGGGATGACTCTTTTACTAGACAACTACTTGGCGAGTGATTTTTAAGAACACAAGACCATTTGCCACCGATGGAGGGAGATGCTGAAGCATGTTTTCCCTCTGGTGCTTGTGTGTGCTGCTTCAGCACAGGAAATCCCTAGGAGCTGTAATTGCTAAGCGTTCATGAACAGTGAAAATGCTCCAGATGAAATAGGAGCGGCTCATCTTCCCTTGGAAACAGTCGTCTGCTCGCTGCACGTTTTGTTTGGTATTGGTTTGTTCAAGCTCTCCTGGCCATACGTCATACACCTTGGTGTTGAAGGTTTTGCTCCGAGAGGTGTTTTTATCGCCATATTGGCGTGAGAGTGTTTGGCCATTGATGCTGATAATCTATTTCCATGTGTACATAAATGTATTCATAAATGTATGGACATCGAACATAATGTAAGACAAAAGAGTCAGTAAAAGGGTGAGATTCTTTTTTCTTTGCAATCCTTTGTGTATTAAAGGTTCCTCGTAGTGTTGCTGAATGATTCAGCTCGTTCAATTAATTCAAAGCCCGGTGCAAACTACCTTTGAAGGAAAATGTTACATAATTTATCTATTAACTTTCTCTTATCTAGTTTATGTTTCTTAACCTGTTACTACATCAAAGGGGGCTGTGCTATCGTGCATGAGAGCCTGAAGTGTTTCATAAGCAGTGTGGGACTGAGATGAGCTGTAACGTTTGGCTTTAAAGGTGAGACATTAAAAAAAAAATCCAGTAAATGCAAGT